CCCAAAAAAAAAAAAAAAAAAACCTAAAACCCCAAACACCCTAAAACCTGCAACCTTAAGCCCGAAGCCAATGCCGCCCGGGAGCCGTCCCCGCCCCGTACCAGCGCCGCTGTGGCCGGGGCGGGCGCAGCTGCTCGAAGCACTGGGCCTCCTACATGTTGCGGCTTTCTTGTTTCGGTGCTTTAGGGTTTTAGGGGGGGGTTATGGGGCTTTAGGGTTTTAGGGTTTGGGTGTTCTTGTTCGGGAGGGTTGGGTTGGGGCTTTTGGGTATCTTTCGGGGCCGGGTTCCGGTGAGTAGGTCAAGAGCTCATGGGCTTGAAGGGGCTCTGTGGTTTATCGGAGCTGAGAGAGTTTGGGGGTGTAGTGTAGTGGCTTAGTAAGGATTTTATGGAACGCCTTGGGCTGAAGGGCTTTTCGCCCTGGAGCTCGAGTTCGACACGCTCATCATCTTGACACTAGCTGACGACCATATAGACGCTCCATGGTACATTGTGGTACCATAACGTACCGCTGGTACAGCGTTGGACCCTGAACCGCTCAGGTTGCAGTCTCCAAGCCTCCCGGATATGGCACCGACAAGGAGACGGAACACAGCAAAGACCCGGATCAATTTGCAAGCGTCGCCAAGTGCCAGTTTGGGGCTCCGGACTTACGTAGGGTTTTGTGACATCGGAAGCTTCGAGCGTCTCTGAAGCGTCGCCCCTTACAGTCGGGACACCAACCGAGCCCGGCAGATCTTCTCGATCTCCTCATCCTCAGCTAGGGTTCTGAGGTTCAGTGCCTTTCTGTGGGGTTCCTCAGACTTGAAGGTTCTTAGGGGGGGTTCTCGGGGCCTAAAAGCGTCTAGGGTTTATAATAGGGGTGTCTAGGGTTTAGGCATCTGGGTGGCGAATCTGACACGGTGCTTGGGCAAACCCCCAGACTCCGAAACCTGACAAGGTGCAATGCATGGGCCTTGGTGGCTTGAACGGGGGTTTGGGCGAAGTATCGTATTTGTTGCCAAGTTGGCAAACTTTTCAAACTGAGGAGCGCTAGCGAAAAGCATTGGCAATTGTCTAGGCCCCAATATCATGAGAAGCCATTCCAAACGTCCCCACCCTAGACAGCAAGTCAATCGCAGCAGAGTCGCACGAAGATCGAGGTCTGCAAAGTGCCCGGGACAGAAGAAGCCAGGACCGCACTCCTCTACGAGGCAAGGTTTTGGGAACTTTGGTGTCTTGGACGAACTCTCGTGTTGAGCTCGAAGAGTGCACGAAGCTTGGGGTTTTTAAGACGAAGATGATGGTCGCTAACTAATCTGATACTCCTCGTATTGCTAGAAGTTCTGCTAGTGGAGCAGAGTGGTCGTATGGCTGCAGGCAATTGCATCTGTCGACGGAGCAGTCCTCGCAAAGGCTGTGGTTTCCCTTGGCGGCTTCCAAGCACTCCTCTTTGCAAGTCGGCTGACGGCGATTTTTCTCAGACGGCGCGTGACCAGCCTCGGTATTTAAGGTTTCGGGTTGATAGGTTAAGCACATTTGGCAGACGTTGTCTTTGCAAGCAGGCAGCCAGCCGAGCGGCTTAGTGTCAAGGGTGTCAGGGAAGCCTTCGACTCTATGGCTCGGGCATGCAGATGAGGCAACGGAGATTTTCGAGTCTGGCCGAGAAACCACTCAATCACCAGACATGCGTGAGCGAATGTTGTGGTGGGGCTTAGGATTTAAGCAGTCTACACTCAGATTCCTCCACAAGCAGATTCCACGTCGAAAACTCCATCATCCACATGCCTGAGGAGGCCAAGAAGCGTACCGGTCATCTGCAGTCATAACACTCTCCGAGTCCTCCGAGGGGAAACGAGCTGAAGCGCCGCTTGGCCGCTTGGAAGCTCAAGCCAGCAGAGAGTTCGCGGTTCAATGTTCCATAAGCGCGTCAGGCCAACCCTCTCCGAAGACTGCAGATGCACACAGAAATAAACTTCACCCATCCCTGGGCGCCACAAGATGACCCTTACAAGCATCAGGTAAAAACACGAGGCGAGTCCTGCGGTGTACATCAGGGAGTGCCCGCGCTCCATGCTGACTGCTCCGGCGTAACGACCAAGTGACATGAACGATCCTGCCGCTTTTTATTGCTGGCCCTAAACCCTAGACCCTAAACCCTAAACCCTAAACCCTAAACCCTACACCCTAAACCCTAATTCCCGCCTGCCTGCTCTGCCGACTCACTCTGAAGGACGGAGCACACTTTTTCTCGCGGGCGATGCCAATCGTAGTTTGCAGATAAAGCCGAAGCATCCGAGGATGTACAAGTGGAGCGAAGGCAACTGCTCAAAAGTTGTAGCCGAAAGAGGCCGAAGCGAAACTTCACCGCAAGCTTGTCAACCAAGTTGCGGCCTGAACCAGAGGTGGTGGGGTGGTGGTGGAACCTGAAAGACTTGAGAGGCAGAGGCACCGGCGGCAGTCCTGCATGTCTTGCTGCCAGCTCCAACCTGACATTCAGGAACGTGTTGTCGGGAATCCTGCTTTCCAATTCCCGCCTGCCTGCTCTGCCGACTCACTCTGAAGGACGGAGCACACTTTTTCTCGCGGGCGATGCCAATCGTAGTTTGCAGATAAAGCCGAAGCATCCGAGGATGTACAAGTGGAGCGAAGGCAACTGCTCAAAAGTTGTAGCCGAAAGAGGCCGAAGCGAAACTTCACCGCAAGCTTGTCAACCAAGTTGCGGCCTGAACCACCCAACCCACCCAGCGGGCCAGCTGCGAAGCACCTGAAGGAGCAACAAAAGCAGCGCGAGGTAGTCCATCGGGCGGGCAGGGAGGGCCACCGTCACCGTCTGCGGCGGTGCCGGCGAGGTCTCTGACGGGACCGGCGGAGAGGGCGACGAACTCAGCGGTAGCACCACGGTGGTCGGTGCCTGGGCTTCCAGCCAGGCATTATACAACCATTCTATGACTTGCGATTCCAGATCCGCAGCCAGCAGCGCGATCTGCATGACCAGCTCGCGGATGATCCTGCTACTCAGCCGCACAAGGAGACTGGCTACTAGCCTCACGCCCATTGCTACCAGGAAAGCCAGGAGGCGCGGGAACATGATGACCACGAGCAGCAGGCCCAGAGTCCTAAAGTTGAGGTGGCTGCCTAGCCAACTCAAGCGGCTCCGCCAGGAAGAGCTTGTCGAAGCCGTCTGTGCCGTAGCCACGCCTCCACGTAGTGGCCGAGCGTGGACTGGTTGCAGCGGTGCCGCCCCTCCCGAGTTCTCTGACGAGTCGAACCCAGGAAGAACAGCTGACAACCCCTGCCTAAGCCGAGCCAGTACTGCTGTCAGACGCCGACTCTCCGGCCCAGAGCGCCACCGGGTCGCAGAGTTTGTCGCAGCACTGTCTTCCAAAACTTGGGCAGCTGTTAAGCCCTGAGCAATCTCCTCATCACCCACAGCCACGGCCGCCTGTGTCATAGCTGATCTCAGGTGCTCCGCCGCCGTTCTCGTACCTTGCCCACTCATGGCACCAGGTCGGGAAGAGCTCTGTCGGGGAAGTGAGAGGACCAGATCCGGCGCGCCGTCTCTACGTCGGGCACGCGCCGAAGCCGGGCGCTCGAGCCGGATAACCGGCATCCTGGAAGCATTGCCTCCAGAGTCTTCCATTCTCCACGGAAGAGCCCAACGAGCTCAGACTTCCTAGGGCAGGTCAGCACGAGGTAGAGCCGCTGGTCCTTGTGGTACTGCACACTAGAGCCGCACGGCTCCCTGCCTCCTTGAGGTGACCCACTCGAGGCTTGAAGCCCGGGCGACGGAGAGGTCGACGCGAGACCTCTCCCACGAGGCTGAGGGGTCACACCACGGCCCGTCCACACCGCTGGGTTCTCCGCCTGGAGCTCTTCAAGGGCGTCCGCCAGTTCACGCAGAGCAAGCACTACACGCTCAGTCATGACGCAGTAGATCTATGAGCCGAGCTGGTGGCGGGGCAACCAAGCGATGCACATGCAAGTGGGCTTCCCGTTGCAGCGTTGTTGCAGTCTCACTGAAATGCAAAGCTGTGTACATGGAAAAAGCATCGTGGAGATAATGTCTCAGGGTACTGGCCTTAGACCAACGCCCCATATATTGGAGCGCCGGCAAGTTCTCCTTCTCCCGGAACAAGTGGGTCGCTCCTCCCGCCCTCATCGAGGCAGGTGTGAACCCTATAGATTCCAACCCCAGCGCCGATAAACCAGCCTTGAAAGTTGCTGCCCACTGATGCCGCTCCCACGGAAACAAACGTTTGCCCGGCCGATGGGCTGCCTGCCACCAGCGCATCCAACGAATGACCCCCTCATGCTTGACCAAAACAAACTGCGTCTTGTAAACCACCACCATCCCTGGGGAGTCCAGGCCTTCCGCACCTTCCACCGGGAGGGTAATGTCTTCCACTCGAAGTTTGTAGATCTCCCCTGGCCTAAGTAATGCCGTAAAAGCCAACCAAGACCCAAGCATCACCGACCACCACAGATAGCGCTCACGACCCTTGGCTTGATTTCCCTTGGCTAGGCACACGACCAAGAAAGTTTGTAGAGTGTAAATGGTCATCGGCATGCGAGAGCGGCTGGGTGTAAGGTGCCGCCAAGCTTTCAAGGCCGCCCATGTTCCCGGTAGCGCCGCCCCTGAGATTCTCCAAAATTTTTGCACCCCCAGCACACCTAACGTCACATAGTAGAGCTTTTCCTCCCCATTGTGGGCGTCCTCCACCGCCCGCTCCAGCCACTTGTCAATCTGCCGCCCGGACGATTTCCGACTCAGCCTTCCCCCGCAGCGACCCGCCCGGTTCACCAGGTCGATGGCCGCATCCCGGAGCCGCCGTCTATATTCTTTCCCCAGCACAGCATCCCGGAGCCGGGGCGCCATGCTCCCACCGATGAAGGGCACCGGCCAAGTCGGCACAAAACTCCTTAGGAATGCGACCTCGCCCTTGAGCCCGCTGGCCACGACCACCACATGCCTGCTGACCCTGCCCACTGCCAGTCTTTAGCCCGCGCCCATCCAACCATGGCAGCGTAAAGCACACTTTCATAACACGTTTGGCGTGCGTTGTCCCGCCCCCCTCCGGCTGATAGGCACTCCAGTCGACTTTACATACCGACACACCGTCACGGCACACCAGTTGCTGAGTCTCAGGCATCGACCAAGCTCGAGAGTTCGCGGGGTTCACAATGGCGAAGAAGACCCCAGCCTTGCGCGCAATGTTCGCGAGGTGAACAGCCCGCCGCCAAAGGTCATTCGCCCACTTGACATGAGGCAGGCACTCATCTCCTTCTGGACATTCCCTGGTACGTTGAAAGCCTCGCTGACCTAAGCTGCGCAAGGGAGAAAAGGATGCCGAGGGAAGTGACATCCACAGCCAATGCACCAGTTTCTCAGCCACAAGCTGCTCCAGGATGGGACAGAAAAGCCCCGGGCCCTCACGAAGATCAACGGCTGGATACATCAGGCAACCCTGTAGCTCATGAGCTGGCGAAAGCGAGGCGACTCCAGTATGCACTTCCAATCCCCAAAGGCGAGGGCCTGGCACATCATATGTTCGCATCCACCGTGGAGCCACCTGCGGTGGAGGCACTGCATTTGCCCGTGATGGGTGATCGGCTGGATTCGCATGCGTCTCCACCCATAATAAAGCCACTGTCACATCCCCAAACAATAGATATGGTATGAGGGTTCGCAAAAGACCATTTATTTTAAATGAGGACGACCTCCCCTTCGTCACCGCCCCCACCGTGACCTTCGAGTCGTTGACAAAGATCTGGATCCGACCAGTCGAAGAAAAGGTACTGGCAATGCGACACAACTCGCGCTTGAAGGCCCTAAAGCTCTTGAAGATTAATATGTGAGATTTGCCTGAAAGTGTAGCTGGAGAGCACTCGCCACCTAAGACAGTGACGAAGGGAGCTCGCAAAACGGCTTGGTTCCTGAGGCACTGGGGCACCTGGTAGTAGATCTTCAGCATGATCCAAACGAACAGGAGCCCCTCGCACCTCGGAGCGCCGCCACAGTTCACGAGCAAGGTCCCCTGAAATTTGTGCGGCGGTAGCTCCCCCTGCGGTAGGTGTTGCATCTGTAGCCACAAGGTCCCGACCGAGTTCACGACGCATGCTCCAGAAAGCGAACGGCAGGTGGAAGGCCATGGACCTCAATTCATCAATGATGTGGTTCGGCAAGCGCACCCACCGATCGATCTTCATGCCCTCCATGTACCGATAAATATGATGCTGCAAACTGTAAAACTCCCGCCTATACTGGAAAATGAAGCACACGAAGCCCAACAACCGCTGCAGGATCTCCTTCGTACAAAAGCCCAGGTCCACAATCTTGCGCAAGATTTGCCAAACCTGCCTCCGTACATCTAAAGGTGCACCGGCACGGCCTTGCACACCATCCACCTCGGCCCCCCATGCTTTGAAATTGGTCTCGCATCGAAACGCCTTGTGCTCGGCCCGTGACAAGTTCGCCTGATGATAGGCACGCTCGGCCGCCTTGACCAGCACCACGTCCGGGTCCTGTGGCAAAGGCGCAGGAGCTTGAAATGAGCCATCGAGTGCAACTTTCTGAGCCAGCGCGAGCCTGTAGGTGACCAGGAGGTCATCCAAGTATGCACCTTGCCAGATCCGACTTTTAGGCACTGGCTCGCCGTAGACAAGAACACTGCCTTTGTCGAGCAGACCTTCCCGTCTAAGAACAGCTTCGTGCGTCGCCTGCGCAATGGCGCAGCCGTTGACATCACCCATACCAAGAACCCTGAGGCAAGCTCGGTGTGGTACCGCCGGATCAAAACCCGCCTCCGCCAACAACTTGGGCTCAACCCGACGACCAAAACCATTGAACCTGACCCATTCCAAAGGCAGAGCCAACGTGTAGTAGTAGTTGCGCAAGTCATCCCCCGAGCCTCGAAGGATCTCCTTCTCGCCGAGAATCATCCGACAAAAGCAAGCCCCTGCCGGTAGTTTCGCCCAATCAAGGCGCGTCATCGTAGCATTCTCTGGCCTCCGATCAAAGATGAGCCGGTCCTCGTCCTCGTTCTTCCGCACAGCAAAGAGGCCTCCCAACAGCAGCCGCCCGTCACGTCGTCGAGGCAGCTCCTGTTCGGGAACAAAGGTGATCATCTGTGCAGCCAGCAACCGTCTCAACAACGGAGTTTCTTCTTGAACAGCCACGCGATGACATGCCACCACCTCTTCGCCCCACAGCGCCTCCGGTAGCCGAAGATCCGAAAGGCGATCCAGCACCTCGGCCCGAGAGCTGTCCAAACACTGTCGCGGATCCACCTGTCCCGCCTCCTCTGGTATCGCGACCCGTTCGGCCACCACCGGAAGAGCAGAAGAAAACTTCTCGCACCCCACTTTAACCACACCACTATAGCATGCACCTGTACCGGAGGCCACAAGTTCCTCCAAGTCCTTTCGTTTGCCCTCACAACTTAGTGTTCCAGACAACATCTCGGGACAAAAGAATTCTGCCACCTCGCCAAGCAGCTTATCGGCATATGGACGAATGCCTTCCACACTACGGTGGGCTACTCGCGGCTCGTAGGCGCTCCCGGCACCGTCAGGGCATCCCAAAACCACATAATTGCACCAAGCCACCAACGCATTCACGAAGGCCCGGCACCACTCAGCGGAATCAAGAAAACCTTTGGCACCCAACCTAAGGCCACACACCTCGGGGTAGGGAAGAGCACTAGGGAAAAGCGGCGTGTCGGCACTGGACCGTTCCAGTAGGTAACCATGGGCACGTTCCAGCCACGCGAAGTACTTCATAAATCTAGTTGAATTCCGACCAGAAAGAGCAGGATCCACTGAGTGGAGCACCTTCCCGGCCCCATGCAGTTCCAGGTCCAGGTTCACTTTCGGTGGCTCTTGCCACCCTCGTCGTCCTCCTCGTCGCCATGGCTGCTCTGGCCGGCCTCGCGGACTTTCTTCTTGAGCTTGCTGAGCGCCTCGAGGTAGCCGCTCACCACCGCCATCTCCTCTTTGCTGCCCGCGAACTCGCGGCGGCTTAGAGGATCGGCTAATCCTGTCAAGAGCCACGCCGCTTCCCAGTCGCCCCCTGACATCACAGCCTGCAGTTTTGCTTTCATGTTCTGCGCTAGCTGTGCGGTGGCGCTCTCGGTCTCGCCGGCCCGCAACATTTCGTAAGCTGCTGCATCCATGACCGCACACCGGAAGATGCCCTTGAACTTCCCCCAGGCCTGCTTCTTGAGGTAGTCCCGAATCGTCCAGGCCTGTCCCGCCACGATTCCCATGTCCTCCACGATCTCCCGCTCGAACTCGTGGTAAATCCTGGCGGGGCGGTTCTTGATCCTGGCGTGCAGCTTGTTCAGCGAAACCACGGCCTTCATTCCAGACTTGCTGAAGTCGGCCTCGTCGCTTTCGCTGTCGGAGGAAAAGCCACCATGGTGTGAGCTGCCCTTGGCCTTGCTTCCTTTGTCCTTCTTCACAACCATAGCTAATAAGGCCAATGGCAGCATCTCCGAAGCACTTTGGCCTTTGGCCAAACCCTCGGCCAGCAGAGCCTGCACGTTGATCTCCGGCTTCTTCTTCTTGGGCTCCTCCACTTTTCGCCCCTTCGAAGGTGCACCGGGGGCCAGCACCCGACTGCTGCTGGCCGCTGCCTGGTTCGCCTGGCCTATCTCGTCGTCCTCTTCGCTCTCGCTGTCGTCGCCGTCGCCAAAAAGGTGGGATAAGTCCCGCAGTTCTTGGCCCAACCCTTTCTTGGAAGCCTTGGTCCTGGCCGGTGCCGGCTGAGCATCGGCTTCGCTGCTCTCTAAGTCCTTGGCTCCTGCTGCTCTCCAACAGGCCCGGCTTGTAACCCAAGAAGGAAGCTCGTGGGGATGGTTGCCCTTCCATGTCGCAGGCTGGCTTGTGGTCACACTTTCTTGCGGAATCTTCACGAAGCGAAGTTTCTCAGAACCCGAGGCCCCTTCCACAGACCCAGGAGTCTTTGAAGTAGCTGAAGTCACTGAGGTTCCAACAATCACTTCGTCATCGGCAAGCTCTACCACCCAACCACAGATTGGACAAGCAGCTCCTTCCTCCCCTCTGAGAATCACGTAGACGAGTTCACCCCCACACACCATGGCTGGGAATCTAAACCTGAAAGACTTGAGAGGCAGAGGCACCGGCGGCAGTCCTGCATGTCTTGCTGCCAGCTCCAACCTGACATTCAGGAACGTGTTGTCGGGAATCCTGCTTTCCAAACCCTAGACCCTACAGTAAGCCCTAAATTGAAAGCTGGCCTCGGGCCTAGGGCCTGGCCGTGAGTCTTTAAAAAAACCAGACACCTGAAGCCTGAACCGTGCAAGCTCCCGCTACCCTGAACCCCCAAACCCTTTTTCCCTGCAAACCAGCTGGAGACAACGGGAATATGCAGAGTCATGTCAGACGGCGCCCCCCATTTTCTGATTTTCTGTAAGTCGCGGTCTGCTGACCCCCCCCCCCTCCCATCCCCCCTCCCCAGTTTAGGCTTCGCCCGGCAACGCCAAGACGCTACAAGGGCGCTTTCCGTCATAGACTATATCGTATACTTTTCTGTATCATATAGCATACTGCAGAGTTTCCAGGGCTGGCGCCTATTGTGTGCGGGGACACCAGGCGTGCATCATGAGCGCCTCATGATGCTGGCTGGGGGAGGGAGGGCGCATCAAGAGCATCAGGGCGTCCGGCCGAAATTGGACGTAAAGTTGCTCGAAACGACTGCTACAGGACGCGTGTACGGGACACCCGGCGGCCGTCCAAGGGGTTTAGCTGACGCTCATGATGCTGGCCCCGGGGTGATGGAAATTTCCAGAAAAAAACACAACGAAACGGAGTACGTACTGCTGACAAGCGCGATGCTCAAACGAGGCCCCCTGCAAATCCCAGGTCGCAGTCTCCCACCCCCCCCTTCCCCCCCCCCCTATACCCCCTCCCCGTTTTGCTCGCCCGGCAACTCCAAGACGCCACAAGGGCGCTTTCCGTCATCCTTGGGTCCCAAACCTCCAACTCTCGAAATTAAAACATATGAACTTGACGGGATTCAGGGTCTAGACCCCTAGACTCATACCCCCGAAACCCTCAACCCAGAAACCCCAGACTCTCAAACCCCAAAACCCAAGTAATAGACATCCCCTGACAATCCCTGCTTGTGGTGACCACAGGAATCGTATGCACTTTTGAAGTCTTTACAGAAGTAGTCCAGCACTTTACAATTAGATTGTCATACATCCCCATAGTTCCTGGCTCAGATTCAATTCGGCCTTGAGGTTTCGAACGTTTAAGGCTTTCTTGCTGTCACTCCTTTTCCTCTAGTTTGTCGTGCAGACCGTCCGTTCGGACTTAGGATTTCGAGCCGAAGGCTTAAGGTTGGCAAGCAGATCCAGGGCTACTGCTGTTCCCCAAATTGCCTGGATATAAGGACAATGATACTTCTAGTATAGCAATGCTATTCTCCAGGGCTCCTTGCTAAAACTGCGGTATATCAAACCTCCAAACCCCATTCTAATGTCGTACATCTACTGATTCACACGCCTGTACACATGGCCCTTCTGTGCGCAGTTCTGTTGAGCACAGGACCGAAGCTGCGGAGTGGTACAAACCGGGAGGTGACTTCTACATGCTCCCAGCCCCTCGCCAAGCTTCTTCAATCGCAAAAAGAAGCCAGAACCCCTAAACCCTATATTGGGTTTAGGGTTTAGGGTTTAAACCCTAAACCCAAAATGAACTCACAACGCCTCCACAATCTTCCACACGGCCGCACGTGACTTGAGGAGTGCTGCCCAAATCATGATCCGGAGCCTTAAAGAACCCCAAATACCCCCCACGGAATGCTACGTCCAAGGAGAAGTCGGTTTAGGGTTTAGGGTTTAGGGTTTAGTCCGGTCGACCTTTAGGTTTAGGGAGAAAGCACCTTTGCTGATTCTGCTGTGGGCGGACCTTCTGGGTGTCTCTGGGGCTACACCTAGGCGTTGCTGCTGAGCTTTCCGAATCGGGAGCCCTGCCTCAACACCCGAAGCCAGCGCACCCGAAACCTTTGAACCCCTTCTGGCGATGCGCTTGAGGAAGCATTTTCTTGCGTCTGCCTTACACCTCTCACGGAGAGCATGCATTTGCCAACTCAAACAGAGCTGCGGAAGTTAGCCAACGGACTGACAGTCTCAGCGCCACCTGGCAATGTTCGAATTGCAGCACTCGACTTTGGCTGCCATCCGGACGCAGGACATGCTTCGCAGGCCTGCACCTCCTACTGGCAAAACTGGAGCACAACCCAGATGCTTGTCGGAAGCCTGAGGTACAGTAGGTCCTGGACCGTGCACCTGAAGCCTAGCTCCCTGCCAAAGCATGCTAACACCGATCGGCTAAAAACAAGAAACGAAAGCCTCTTAGCTTCCTGTGAGCTTTACTCACGGCTTCGGCATCCCGGGTTTACCCGGAGTTTCATGCACGTCTGTACAGTCGAAGTCGCTGCCCTTAAGGACCGTCGGCTCTCGAGAGAATGCAAGGGGACCTTCTCGAAAAACGGCTACTGGCCCCAAAACCCCTAAACCCGAAATCCCCAAAAAGCCGTTAAACCCTACTGTAAACCAGGGTTATGACTAGTAAACTTCGCTGACTCGTTGCGACTGAGCTTCGTCCCAGAAGTAACCCGCATGAACCCTCCGCCCTCTAGAGATGAGCCAACGGGTCTTGAGCAGCTCCGCACAAAAATTGTTATTCGACGACGCTCACGCGCCGGGCCCCGTGGTCATTCCTTTGAAGCTGAGGTTCCAGCGCCGCAGATACTTCCGCATCCAGCGATCAAACTCGCCTCAGCAAAGGACCCCAAGATGCCCAAAGGCTCCGACATCTGCGCCCAAAGCCAGAGCAGCTGAAGTACAAATTCCCGACAATGGCCATCCACTCACAGCACATGTCCGTCATTGAAATTCATCCTCTGCAGTTGAGATTGGGCGTCTTCATTCGGACTTCAACTACCGATCGAAATCGAAATTGTTGAAGTTACATCTGCTCACCTACGAAGCTTCGGTTCCAAGAAAGCTCGACACCCGATGGACAGCATCGACGATGCAACACTTCGGACGGAGGGCCGACTGCCACAGACAACGGCTGATCGAAGACGATGACCTCTTCCTGCCCAGCGGCGTAAGCTCAGGGTGTAGGGCTGAAGGTCTGGAATGGTTCGTAGCGTTGGGAAGGGCTCCGGAAGGGCGACTCCAAGAGAAGAAGCGGAAGCTGCGGAAGAAAGCCCACGACGTGGTCTCAGCTTGGAGATCTGGCTGGCTTGCACCGCGATTTTCAAGGAGCTCTTAGATGCAGGTTCAAAGCCTTGGGACGTTCTATTGCTGCTTTCATAGGTTTATTGCAATTACAGCTCGCATAGCTGCTTCTGTCACTTCCCGTTTAGGTAGCTGTAGCCGAATTTTCAAAGAATTGCAGCAACAAAAATTGAACCCGAAAAGCCCCTGAACGCCAAAGCCCTTAAGCTCTAAACCTTCCTCCTTGTAGAAAGGCTAAAGCCATAAGCCCCCTTTAAAACAAAAACAACAAATCAGGCATAGGTGTTGCAAAAAGGCACAGCCCTGCTGCAACTCATCCCCGAGCTGCTCCCAGTCCTTCTTCTTCTGCTGCAGCTGCTGGGGCGTAGAGGGCGCCTTTCCGAGAACCGAAACCCGGGTTTAGGGTTTAGGGTTTAGGGTTTAGGGCCCCCAAACATGCCAAACACCTAAAAACCCCGGAAAGGTTTGCGGCAAACCTGCAACCCAGATACCAAAGCCTACCTGAGTCTTGGGGTTCTCAAACCCTAGCAGCTGCAACAACAACCATTGACAAGAAGAGGCGCTGAGGGTGTTGGTGTTCTTTTCTGCAGGGGCGAGTCTCCAGCTCAGTGTGTTGAAGCTTCGGGTTGATTGAGAGTCTAGGGTCATGAGACTGTCAGAGTTCGGGGTCGGGTCTCTCAGTTCTGGCACTGGCGTTTCAGCCCTCTGCATGGCAGTGTCCGAAGGTCGGCAGTCGAATTTGCACAAAAGGTTTTTTTGGGGCTTCGGGCCCTGCACATGGTTGTTTTGACTGTCTGCGCAAGTGACGCCCCAAGCTTCGACGCATTCAATTCCTTGCAGTTCCGGTGCAAATATTCAATCGCAATCGATGGTAGTGTTGCTTTTGCTCTTCCATTGTATAGTTATTTAGGATTCTACGGCTCTACGGGTTCAGGGTTGAAGGCTGAGGATGGCGAGGGTATCAACTGTGACCCGGTAAGGTGCCGCCTTCTTCTTGGGCTTCTCCTGTCGCGAAGGAAGTTGGAATTTCGAACAAACCCATTGGCTGTGACAGACAAGGCATGTTCACCCTCTGTCCTCAAATCTGGACGCTCACTAAACGCCGGGACCCAAAGGGCTCAGCTTAAGCAGAACATTATGCCTGAAGCTTTGAGACATGTCATTGGATGCAAAGCCTCCAAAACCTGACACACACTTCCTCGTATAGCTCCGTCTTTACCATGGCTATTACAAACACAAGTTCTTGTTTTATGCATGCGGCCACGATACCTCGGTCAGGGACCAAACGTGGCAAAACCCTGTGATCCCCAATTGCCCCGCCTTTGCCGCTCCGGACACCCGAAATTGAAGTGCGTAGAGCGCGTATGTGCGTGTACATATTATATATATATATACACACACACACATATATATATATATACACGAGATTCACGAGGTTCCATTTTTGTGTCCCACAACAGCCGCGCTCACAACCCAGATAGCCAGTGATAGGAACCACAATCCACACGAAGCGATCAACCCTCCATGGTTCGGTGATGCTTTTCCCACTGTGCAAAACTGCCTCTTTGGCCTTACACCAGCAGATTGAGATGTTCTCTACAGCACAAACAGATGTAGCAGCCTATTGCCCGCAGGCTTCCAGGCATTCTGGCTTTTCGTCCAATGTGTAAACTGAGCTGCTTTAATCTTCCTTCGAAAAATCACATTGCCACGCTTGCGTTGCGTGTATTTTACATATGCCCGCAAGTGACCCCGAAACCTATCCATGATTTGCGGCCCTGACGTCATTGTTGTCTTGCTAGGCATCATCAACTTGCACACCCTCCGGGGAGGCGAAGTTTGTACGCGCGAGCATCATCAATGCGCAGACCACATGCTGACTGACCACGAAGATGCTTAGGCTTAGTGCCAACCTTCCCGCAACCACGTTTCCGAATTGGTCCTGGTCCGGGTGCGCGCGGTGCTGTGAAAGGCGGCGCCAACCTAAAAAACCGCAATGACGGCGGTCGCCCCCGCTCCACGACCCCACACGAGTGCTCCCAACGGAGCTTGGGCTTCTGGTCACTGTCTTCCTCCAGGGCCTTTCCCACATCCACCTCGTTAGCCTCAACATCCCTCCAAAGCCCACCCGATGTACTCCCCCAAGAAATAGACTTCTCCTTTTGCTCCACATAGCCGGCTCTTGCGGCATCCAAGTTAGTGTACACTCGCTCTACTGCTTTGTGGTCTGTGCTCAATAATCAGGTGGGCGGAGTCGAGCGAAACCCCTGCGAGTGCAACATACAACATGCAAGATTGGAGGTTGAGGGGTGTCTCCAACGAGCCTGCTCCACGGAAGAAAATCGGATGACAGTCATTCGGCTAAAGATACCTTTTGCATCCGCGAGATGAGCATTGGTGCATCCACGTTTTGCAAGTTTTCACGAACTTCGCCCAGCTGGCTTACACTACACCACACCGAGGACATACTTGGCCTGTCCACTTAGGAAAGATAAGAAACCGCCAACGGAGATCATGAAGATCTCGATTATGGTGTCTTGTGTCCGCCATGGGGAAAACACTACGAAATTTATGGCTCATCGCGCACGCTGGGGTCACTCAATCCAACACTTCACGGCCATGCCCTACGAGAAGCTCTTGCACATACTCCAACGAGATGGCGACATTGGCCCTTCCTTTCCCCCGGGAACTGGCCACGGTCCTGTGGACTTTGCCTCGATGCTTTTGGGAAATGTCCTCTTCGGCATGGCTTTTCGACGATGAACATTATTCGAACACCCAAAACTGCGAAGAACATCAGCGGATCTGGTGCAACGTTTGCGGTCGTGTCATGCCCGCTTTATAAGAGCACGTCCTATCGGGAGTGATTTCTTATACATGTTTCCAAAACCGTGTGAGGTCCGCGGGCGTGCTGTCTGTGAGACTTTCAAAAATCGAAGTTGCCACAGCGTCGTGCGTGATGTCAAATCTAATCTTATGTGTGAGGTTGATCAACACACACACACACACACCACAGCCCTTTATAGCTAGGAATAGTTGCAGTGGGAGCATGACGACGAGTTGTGGCAAGTATCGCAGTCTACCACATACATTGGCTCGCTTACAGCACTCTAAAACCAAATGCATACACTCTGCAGGTTTGGGGTTCACGGTTCGAGGTTGACCGCGTTTAAGCTTTAGGGCTTAAGATTGGGGCTTGCGTCGTAGGGTTCCATGGCTCGATGCCTAGAGCTTGCGGCCTAACTTGACTCTGCCAACGCAATCCCTCGCAAAGCTCTGCAAACACGCTTGCAACTCCCCCCAATCCCCGAAACCCGAAACTGCCAGAGACCGCCCTGCACTTTTTGCTTTCGGCCTGCGGGAGCGGGAGCTCCACTCTCCTGGGCGGCTTGGGCTACGGGTCTGCTGAAGTCCTTCGTGCTTCATCATGCATATACGGGGGCTTCTGAAACTAGGGGACCCTAAAAAAGTACCCTAAATAGAAGGATTTTTACTATACGGACTTCGCAAATAAGGTACCCCTTGCTTTCGGAAACCCTCATATACAGGTGGATAAGTATGTGCGTATACACACAGATACTTGAGAGCAGGGCGGACGAAAGCTCGGGAGAAGGAGTTGAAATGCCGAGGAGCAAGAAGGTAGAGAGACGATAGTCGTTTCGGGCGTCAGGGCGGCGCACGGCGTGCATGCGGAGAGTTTGAGAGCCGAGCGTGGCCTCCGCGCCCATGCGAAGCACGGCGAAAATGCAGGGGAGCAGAGTGCGTGGTGCGAGCGTTTGTCCGCACAGGAAACATCGGAAGCTGAACGGTCTGGCATTTTCGCGAGTGCTGCAGGCAACGATGCAGGCAACGATGGCCCTGTGCACAGACCTGGCACAGATCGCAAAAATGCACCGTTGGTCGTGCAGGAATGTCAGCTGCTATCGTTAGCGAAATTGCTAGGGAAAACGCATCTGCGGGCAGCATCTGCTGGAACTCTTGAAGTAGACACCTCAGTGACACAAAGCTGATGTCAGTGGCGCAAAGAGTGTGAAACTTGTCTTTCATTCGCGGCCTGGCTGCATTTTTGTGTTTGTCCTTGCATGCTGCAGGTGTGGGAGCTGCAGGCGGAGCGATTTGAAAAAGAGGCAGTGGAAGAGAGCCGCATGCATAATTGCAGCAGGGTCTGCACTTGCCTGTCGTGTCTGCATGCAGAAGGAAGTGGAAAAGAAGTCAGCATGGCGCTTAAACATGCGGTTCCGAGCACTGATCTAAGCGCAATCGCGGCAAGCACAAGAGACCAACTCGTTGAAATCAAAAACCACCAGAGCGCAGGGGGCCTTGTAGGATGGGGGGGGGGGCCCTCCCCCCCCCGCTAATCGAAGGGGCAGGTGTCTGGAATATCGACCAATAGGGGTGGAGGGGGGGGCCACCCATGCGACCCTAAACGTCCTTGAGATATCGGACAAAAGGGGCCTCCGAGCTGGTTTCTCCAACGAAGAGGCTGTAAACAAGAACTCCCGCAAGCTCCAAGGAGCTAGCTTTTTTGACATTTGCATATATAGGTGGCAAGACCGAGAAAAAGCAGACTGAACGCATAGACAACTCGCTGGACAGCTAGGCTCATTCAAGTCTTTGCGCAGGCAGCTCAAATGAACATAGAAACACACATACATATAGACGTGGACATAGGCATGGACTTAGCCAGCAAGGGGCTTTGGCAGGGTGTCCCAATTCCAAGCAGAGAATTGGGCTATGGCATCCGTGCGTTCCGACCCAAGAGCCGTGGCAACTGAAACGCAAAGGGACCTCACTGAAGCTGCAATGACCTGTCACTCCGTGCCGGAAACAAGACTACTTGAAACAAAAACCACAGGAGAGCTCACCTCAACTGAGGCTTCCCCGAAGACAACAGAAGGACCCCCGGACATCCAAAGGGGAGCCTTTGACCGCGAAGCCGAAGCCGAGGCTCTGAATGCCGTACTTTGCTTGCAGCTCGGCCATGTGCTCTTGGCGAGCCTCTGGACACCCTAAACCCTACACCCTATACCCTAAACCGTAAACCCTAAACCCTAAACCCTAAACCCGACACTCTGAGGTTTGGCAACACAGCCTGGAGCTCTCAGGCTTTGGCTTTGGGGGGAAGAAAGGAAGGAGACCTAAACGGGTCTAGGGGTCCGGAGATTTGCGGGGTTTGGGGTTTATTGCTTCAGAGCTTGGGGGTTTACGCTTTATGGAGCTACAATGGGCCATGGGGCTTCAGGGCTTCATGGTCGGACAAGCGCTGTAGATGAGCTTTTGAGAAGCGCACCTCCTCCTGCTGCTTTGCTTCCCTGTGTTCAGCTGCCCCGTGGCCTGCACGCCAGGGGAAAGCACGGGAATCGGCGGAGGGTTTGGGGGTTTAGGGCTTCGGGTCCAGGTCGAGTTTAAGGTCATGTTTGAACTCAAACGTCCAACGTCAAGGCCCTCACCAAGAGCATCTGAAATCCTCAAGAACCCGCCTCAACGTGCACTCCAAGATGGACTCCTGATCATAAGTTAAGCTGTGTGTACCCTAGACTACACACATCTACACACCATACATGGACTAGATCCTCAACGATATGCTCCAAAGCAAAATCCCTCGCGGCTTCTTGGGGCCTGCGAAGTTGAGCATGTCCTGGGGTGCTTTCAGGTACCCCGACCCTGTGAGGGGGAGCTCTCGTGGCTCTCAGGCCGACAGGGCCGGGGCCGGGTGCTTCAGTGCGTGACAAGATGACCATAGCAGAATTAGCCACTCAGATCACTCGGTGCAGCAGCGCATCATCGTCGGCATCAGTATCTTCATCAGGTTCTTTCGCTGCAGCTAGTTTCTTTACCCTAGCCATGTGGCCATCGGCCATCGACGTCGTCGTAGTCATCAAGCTCCCAATCATCGACGGCGGTGGCAGCAGTCGACCAGACAGGCGTCAACGCGGGTCTTTCGCATGCAAGAAGCACGGGAAGCAAGCATATGCGTTGTCGAAGGGTCGGAGAACAGATGCAAAGTCCGTGGTTCGACATACCTTCCACTCCGCAGGGGGGGAAATGGGGGAGGCACAAAAGGCGACAATCAACAAAAACCCTCTGCATTTTACGAGGGTCCATTGGACCCAGAAGGGCATCGACGTTGTCCAGCCTGAGAATCGTCGGCTTGACGGATGTTTGGGAGTTTCGGAGGTTTCGGGTTTTAGGGTGAGGTCACAGCTTGGAGGAGGAGCTTTTTGAGCAGCATACCTTGGGGTCATGCTTGTCATTGCAACTGTGGGGAGCAGCGTTTCTGCCGGGCATCTGCAGATGCAAACAATCTCAAGCACAAACACTTAACACTAAGCCTACACCAATCATTTCGAGGAGCGCTCGTGTAGGTTCAACCTTGAGAATGACCATACAACCATAACGGCAGACTTATTCTTTGAATGGTATATCCCAGTCTCAGAATGTACTCCTACGATTCTGTGTTAAGGACTTAGGACTTCTGGTTTCAATCGCAGGGTTTGACGTTTTCGGCATTTGGGGCTTCGTTTTGGCCATCTGAATCTGCACTCTGGTTTGGCGTAAGCTCGCGGTCCTGATCCCTCGTGTCACCCGCTGATGCAACTTCCATCCATCATGGCTCCAGGCGAACTACGAGAGAACTGATTGCGCTTCATGCGAACCCTGGACTAAGCCTCGAACCCCCAAACCGATGAACCCCAGGAAACCCGAAACCCGCATAAACCCGCCTGAACCCGCAACGAAGCGCTAAACGCCCAAGATGCCCAAGATCCCCCCCAACAACCCCCAAAGCCAAAGATGCCCAAGATCCCCTTAAAAAACCCCAGAGCCCCCAAAGCCAAAGAGACCCCCCGAGCTCTTGGCATGAAGACCGCATCGGCGGCGGTCGACTGTCTCCGGAGGGCAGCGGGTCGAGACTGGCATTGCAGAGGTAAACCAAACTTAGCGGCTTAGGGTTTAGGCTTTAGGGTTCTACAATGGAGGCTGTCTGAAGATACTGCAGGTGTTAGAAAGGCCCAAAGTCTCCAATTGAAACCTTGAGGCATCCAGCACAGTCCTCCGAGCTCACCGGGCGACACCCAAACCCAAGACCCTGTACCCTATCTGCGCACAGAAACCCTAAACCCTAAACCCTAAACCCTAAACAACCACCTCCCGGCTCTGAGGAGTCTCGCGGACGATGTTGGGGGATTTTTACAGAAATCCATACCCAAACCCATAGTAGGTACCTACTATTATAGGGCCCTAGGGGCTCTAGTACCCGAAAGAGCAGGTACCTGGAGGGTTAGGGAATCCTTAAGCAGATGCTCAATGGGCTGTCGCACTAAAGCTGAAGAGCCTCCGACCGAGGCTCGGGAATTGAAGTAAATCAGGCTCCAGCGCGTCACTGAGGTTTTGGGGGGTGCAAGAAGGCCAGGCACCCTTGAGATTGTCTCTTCGTCATTGATGCGGAGCACGCCCCGGACCTGTCGAAATTCAGAAGATGAACCTTATCCAAGTCTGACCATGCGGATTTTGTTCCAAGAAGACGCTCACTGTTGACGGCAATTGATTGCTACATGCGGAGGATAAATGCCCGAAAAAGAAACCTGCTTTGGAAGACTGTCTGGAGCCACATAATGACAGCAAAACTGGGCTTACCACGACCACGACGAACAGCCACAACAGGGCTTCGATTCTGGACTTGCAGTTCGGCGGTTGAGACTGACGGGAGGAGCCTCAGAATGATTTGGAGCTGGCCCATCCTAAACCGGTAAGACGCTGGGAAGAGTCTGCAGAAACCCAAAACTTAAGGGTTTTGGGCGATGGGATCCCTGCGTTGAGTTGAAAGCCCTTTGTGGGTTCCCCGGCCGTCGTGGCAACGGCGGCGGCGTCCTGCATCCAACGCTCGAGACGGTCAGCCCGCATGGCCTGCACATCAACTCCAAGGCTGTGGATTGAAGCAGATGCCCTGCAAAGCTTTTGCCCGTTCGTGATGATATCCGATCAGAAGGTTTGACTGACTCGGACGTTTGAAAAACTTTTAACATCTTCATGGTTCGAGCTTCCACGAACGGATGCGGCCGCTGCCTGTGGGCTGTGGTCGACCTCATAAAGAAAGCCTCGAGCCGGGGTCCGTAGGGTTCTGATGTCTCATGGAACCTTCGAGCTCCAACGAGAGCAAGAATCACTTGCACCCTCGGAGTGAAGAAGCAGGGATCTCTGGGGGTGTTTTCGGATCATTGGGCTTTGGCCACTGTACGTCCGGCGATGCGACCTGCGCCGTCTCGTCGTTGGCGTCTTTGACCTCCTTGAACTTCTCGTACCTCGTAGCGAACTCGCGGCTTTCTGCCGGCACAGTGTGTTGCATAAAGTCCTCGCCCAACCGTTAGAACACTCCTGATACAACCCCTACGCCGTAAGCCCCGAAAGCCCCAAAAAAAGGCTCTTGTACATTGGTGCAAGATGGTACAAGTCAAGAGTCCCTCAAGCCTAAACTGTGAGCCCCGATCACCACATGAACCAATTCGTACAAGTCCCACGAAACCTTTACAATTCCCACCTGGAGCAAAAAGCACAGACACCCGTGCTTGGAAGCCACCTTACAACAAACAACCTCCCTGTAAAACCCATTAACGAAACCCATTAGAACAGAAACAAAGAAACATGACGTCCCTGTCAAGAAATGCCTTTACAAACAAACGCCCACCGAGATTCAAGGACTTCTTCCGGAGTGGATCATGCCTTGCAGAACGCAGGCACCGCTGAATGAATCCCACTGCGGTCTAGGGCTTAGGATCCTTCATAGCTTAGGGATGTTTCGTCCAAGTCTTCATGTGCAAGCTTCTCCAGAACTTGTTGGAACAAGGCTTAGAGTTCTCACATGAACTCATTGTAGGATTGCTGATGCCTCCTCAACGAATACACCCGACAGGCTGTACAAAGTCTTACTAAACACTACCCGGCACACCCTGCGCAACCACGAGCCCTACAAAGAATGGAAACCTGGCCCATTGCGAACCTCGACATCTCTACAGACTGTGCCGAAACAGGGTCCCCAAGCCTCAACCCTCGCCCTCGCTATGCCCTCTGCCGGCAAGCCGCTTCATGGCCATGTACTTTGCCAGAGGTGGCTTCTGGAAGGGGCCCTGCGTGGCAGCCAGGCGCTCCTCCACGCGCTTCACGTCCCCTGTACAGGCCCGGGTATGGGGCTCAGGGTTTCGGATTTCAGGATGCTTAGGGTTTCGAACTTTTGTGTCGCGATGCGGACCACGACATAGATATATGTTGAGCAAGTTTTCGCCATCAAAATAGCTGTCTCAATATCTCGACCTTGCAAGGCAATCTGGTATCGACTGCCTGTTTTTTGAATTGTACACAGGACCTGGAACCTCTGGGCAGGGAAGGTAAAGTAAAGGCTCCCAAATCTGACAAAAAGAAGCAGACATTTTCACCTTCAGAGACTTGGAGCCCAACGGCCAACTCCACTCCGGCGGAAAAGGGTTTAGGGTTTAGGGTTTCGGGTTTAGGGTTTAGGGTTTGGGGTTGAGGGTTTAGGGTTTAGGGTTTAGGGTTTAGGGTTTCAATGAACCCAAAACAAAAACTCAAGGCCCCAAGAAGCCTAAAAATTTCGCGGCCCCAAATTTATCCCCGGAACTGCTTTTGTCAAGGCCACGCTTCGCCGCGCGGAACCGCCCCAAGGGATCTCCGTACAAGATCCTGGGTTCGGGTTTAGGGTTTAGGGTTTAGGGTTTAAGGCTTAGGGTTGTGTTTCGGGAGCTTAAGTGAAGTTTATACCAGCGAGACACAATTTTCGACTTGCCAGCAAATCATGAGCGATGAGTGCCTTAACAAGGACCCAGCGTCTTTTCCGCATCGAACTCATCCACAGGTGGCTCAGGGTGTACTGCACGCGGGTTTCATGAACAAACCAGGCAACCCAGAAGGACAACCAAACAAAAGCGTCCTGATGGCTGCCGATGTTTTCGCCTGGGTGCCCGCGGGCCGGCCACTGAATGTGGCCGATTTTGCTGCAAATGAGCCTCAACTGATGCAGCCGGCAGATTCGCATGGGCATTTCCAACCGCACGCTGCTAGATCACTGTGGGTGATGAAGGAAGGTCGCAGTTCAGAAAGGACAATAACTACTTCGGTGCTCCTTGCAGCTTGGGAACTCGCGGGTTCTTGGACAATGGGACAGACTGCGGTCTCATGGTGTCTTCGGTGTCAGCTGCTGTCGCTAAGCGATAGTCTGAAGCTCACGCTGTATGTCAAAACTTAAAGCATTCGGTGCCTGCGATGAATGATAAGTTCATAACAGGCTCAACACCAAAGCTTGCTCCGGGAAACCGAGCCTTTACATCTCCGAAGTGAATGTGCATGGGGGCTAAATTTGTGTTTTAGCCGCGTTGCATTGCTGCATTCCGGGAAACACTCTGACAACGCAGCTGCTGAAATCCAGGCCAGTGCATCAACATGCTGTGAGCCAACATGAAGTAACCAGCGAACGAATGTTCGAACACAGTTTTGGTACTGCATTCAGCTTGCAACACAAGCAATGGCGCTGCGAAGTATGCATACATGTGGCAAATTGCCGCAAACAAACTGCATCCCGAGGCGAGCCGCTCTCGTCCCAGTCGCGGGCTCTTGTGTTTGCAGTGTGTCTTGAAGCATAAATGCTAACTACAAGACTCCCGTGCATCATCCGGACATCATGAGCCAGCTCCTGTGGCCATCATAAGGTTGAATCAAACTGCTTTCGTCCATATCACGCAATCAGCCAACGAGGCACAGGTTGCCGCAATCTCTTTCGGAGGCAGCGAGCCAGAGCACGGCCAAGAAGGCAGTTGCAAGTCACGAGCCACAGGAGATCTGCCATTCGGACTCCAAAAGCATGTGTCTGAGCCCTTTTCCAAGATGCAGATCGGAGAGCGGGCCCCTTTTCCGCCAAAACTGACATAGACGTGTTGCAGACCTCCCAAGCACTGACTGCGGGCCAGTTGCACAGCGGTTCGGTTTAGGCTTCCGTTTCCT